TATATATTTTTAATTTACTGTAGGCATCATTAAAATGCTCACACAGTGCAGTGTATTTTAATACCTTATTTTCGTCTCCATTTAACCTGTAGTTCATTGACTTATTATATTGATCGTTACTTGTCAACAATATGGGTTAGATTTGGAAACTAATAATGCTCAACCCAGTATATTAGTAGTTCGCATAATTAGATATGGATAAAAATGAGATAGAAAAGATATCATAAACTACACACATTTTTTTGAGTGCATATATGAATAATTCTACTAACACAATTCTATTCAAGACATGATTGAATTAGAGGTGACATATCTTTCAATGGAGTTTAAACTCTTTTTACTAAATATAATGCCTGTTGGTCATAATGAAGTACACATATTTCTATAGACTAAATAATCTAAGTGCTTGACATATGTGACTTAGTATTAATAATTTATTAACTAAACTAATGAAGCGATATGTGGAGAATCAAAAAGAGATTTCATTTATTTGTCAAAGGTAATAATATATTTTTCCTTTAAATTATACAAGCGTATATTCTCAAAATGTGGGAAATTTCCAAGTTAATTATTTTAGGAATCAAGCTCTTGTCGAAGAATTTCTATTACGTACGTCTTCTCAAAAGCAGCATAAAAGTTCTTTTTTTGATGCTGCATTAGATATAGAACTCTTTTAGATGCTACATGGCCCGCCTCTAGTCCAATATGTATTAATTAATATATAAATGTCCCTTTGAAATAAGTTGTTGGATTGATCAAAAGATCATAAAGCTAATTTGGCTTCTTCTTAATTGTTTTTTAATTAGCGCTTACTTGTTTTGTAGCGCTAATCATTTTGATTAATATATAATGCGAACTAATTAAAAACACATGGTGGCAAATAAGTTACAGAAGGTGTGCTATAGCCGGCCCACTCTTTTCGAATTCACTTTCACAAAATACCTATTTAAATCCACATCCCATGTATGGTTAGTCTTAAAAAGTCTCGATCTTCCTGTTGCATTCATTCCTCTGCTCTCAAATAATGCGCCTATTTAATATAATTTATACATCTTTATTATAAAATAGCACATATCAAACCGTTTGCTTCTGCGTGTGATGCCACAACTAAAAACAAATCTGACCTCTTCATATATTCACATTATTTGGTCACTATGGCAAGTTTTCCTTCTTAATTATTCTTCTTCTCATTTGTTCGGTTTTTTTAATCCTCTCATTTGATCAAGATACGATCTGGACATGCTCACGTATTCCAAATTTTGTTATCTTATAAATTATAATGAAGTTCTTTGTTTTTCTTAGAGTTTTCATTTCACTACCTTTACGTGAAGGATTTTCTGTTTGTAAGCGTGACTGACAGATGCTATATGATGATAATACTTAAATTATATGTGGTGATTTCACAATCAATATGGTTTTGTTGAAGCGCGCTCGATCGTGTTTTACAAGTTTGATTAAAAAAAGGAGTGCAATATATTTAAAAAGGCACATGAGGAGATAAAGAGTGGGGATAATTAATGAGATGAATTTACTGTGTTTCTGAGGAAGATTAATTGCAGTAATATGGTTGAACACAAATATGCTCTGAGAAAAAGTACAAGAAGATAAGAATAATGAAGGCAACTTGACGCCCGATTTGAAGCATCGTGCAACGCTTGAGTGAAGCATCATTTCATCCTGCAAAGGCTGCACACATAAGGACATGTCTCTATCGATCAAAACGTTGAATGATTTTGATTGTACATTTAATTTCCTTTTTACCGACTAACAGGTAAAAAGAAAAAGCCATACATATTTACATGAAATATCATTTTAGCACTTCCATTGGTTTTCCATCCTTCCTGCGTTTGTCATTCTCATCAATCTGCTCTTTTCTTCATATATCCCCCAGGCCCCCCGCTCTCAAGCTCTGCATGTCTTTATCATTAGCTCCTTCTTTTGCTTCATCGTGGAGTATCCATAAGTGATGAGTAATAAACTTACCTTATGCTGCGTGAAACACAGGACTTATTACCAATGCAGCAATTTACCCTCAAAGACATGGAAACCAAGACTAAAACAAGAACTGGCGATTAGATAAAACAAGAAGATCCTAACATCTTTGAATTATCTTTTCTTTAATTATGAGTTAATTGCTTTTTTTAACAGGAACACATCTATCACGACGGGCTACTCTTCACTGAGAAAGTGACGGGGCTACATACAACATTCATGTGCAGCTCAGTTGGCATAACGCAGACAATAATCAGACCTTTGTAATCATCAACCTCTTCGTCGTCGATCAGTTTGATGCCAAAACACAAAAATGGCAGATGACCGCCTCTTTTGTGATTAAATATGCTTTTTGGTGTTCATTATGATTTTACAACTAATTTGCTACATATTCCTTCAGTCCCTTTTATAAGTAACTTAGACTCTATCACGTAGATCAAAAAGTAAGTTAAAGACAATAAATATGTAGAAATTAAAAGTTCTTTTTTTGAAATACCCTCATTTATGGAAGAAAGAGAATAAAAAAGAATTACTATAATAGAGAGAATTATAAAAAAGATAGAATGCGGATGGAAAGTGACGATGGTTTGGAAAATAAGATAATAACTATATTGGGTATTAAAATAAGTAATTAATAGGGGTAAAATAAAAAATTTACTTCAAAAATTTAAGAAAAATTTGCAAATGTTACTTATATTTAAGGATAAGAAATGAACGATAGTTGTTGCTTATAAATAGGGCTGGAGAGAGTATATTGGCTGGATGTTGAGTTTCAATTTATACAATATATATATATATATATAGAGAGAGAGAGAGAGAGAGAGAGGAACTTAGTTGAAAAGGGTTTGATACTTGGTATGTGCTTGAGATGTGCACCTGCTTTATATATACTTAGAGCAATTACCGTTATCAGTGAAGTATTCTCTCTGCACCTCACCAAAAAGTAATGAAATTTATGATTGAATTCAAAATAATTCGCACCTCCCCTCATGCCACCTTTGAATTTGCAGTAATTCAGTTCGTCTTTGGTAGCTGATGTGAGTATGTTACCCAAGTCTGGGCTTGGCGTTGGCCCAATTTCTAAGCCCAACCATTAGAGCCCATATTCATGGACCTCCCATCAGGTGTTTTTAAATTTTTATTTTCAAAGTTTCATCGAATGTTGTTTGAAAAACAAGTCCAGATTATAGAAAGGAAGAATTACCATAAGCTCCTCAAAAAGAAATATAATTATTAAAAAATCTGTATTATTAAAACTTGTTATCACAAACTGTTTAGTCGTTATGAGTTTTTTTTAATGAATATGTTCTTTCCATAAAATCTTATTACAATTCTCCCCTATAAAAAGGATTCTGATCTAGAAAAATAAAAATGAAAATGGTCTGATATCATTATTCAATCAACGTAAAAGATATTTTCTGATATTTTGATGTGGACCCCCGGCAAATTGGATTCTGAGTTATTTCTACGATGCTATCACCCGTCAAGCAACTTAATTATCCCAAATCCATTCATTAACGAGTGAATGTGACTGGCCAAAAAAATTGAATGATAATAAATATTATTTTTTAGGTTTTAAATATAAGACACATTTGTTAATTGTTAGTATAATTTACAGTAAAAAATAATTCTTATATTTATAACCGGACGGAGTACTTTTTATGCATTTCATTCCTCCCAATTTTTCTTAGACTGGATTTTGCAATTTCAATATATTTTTATAATTCTATAATTTTGTGAACTATTAAATTTGAACTGTACAAATTTGATCTCCTGATTAAAAGATGGAAAGGAATTAAAGGATGTAAGAGAGAAAAGAAGCGGTTCCCCTTACGTACAATAGCTGAGCTCCATGAGGGAACACAGCTTTGTTGAATTTGGATTTGTATAATAATTAGCATTATGCCCTTGCTACTTGCCCGTTCCCTTTGTATTAAAATCACGCCCAGTTATTATTACTTAAACGGGTGGACTGATTGAGATCTTTATTGTTTAATTAAATCATTAAACCCTTGATAAGATCCCTTTACATAATTATCCTTTTTATTTGGAATATTCTAAAACGTCTTTTTTATTTGCCAACTCCTAAGCATCATTCATATACGCCACTCCGTTTCTTATTATAGGTCACTTGTACCCAAAAATTTGTTTCAAAATATAAGTGACTTATAGTATAATTAATGATCTTTTTCTAATTTCCTCCCTATTGATTTAATAAAAAGTTAATTAATTTAAGTCTGAATTAATGACTTTTCAAAACACGTCCCTCTCCCTCTTCGTCTCTCTCTCAACTTTTCATTTCTTATGCACTCCGTCTCCCCTTCTCTCTCTTTATTTAATAAGAGTAAATGAGAAAAAATCGGTTGATTTAATGTATTTCTTAGTTTAGGAATTTAGGATACAAGTAACTTATACTATTATGTTTCAACATTAATCCGAATATCTGGTCAAAGAAAACAGTTATCCAGATGCGTTACAGCTACTTCCGATTAAATATTCCCTTTTTTTGGGCAGGTCAGTGGGCTGTTTTCTCCCGAGGGTTTATACATATACATTCCTTTGCGTTTTTACCCATCTTAGGTAGGATAAGGCACAGATTCCTAATATTTCTGTTTTGAATTTCCTCATATTTTGATTTTCACACAGCAAAACACTATCGAATAAAACCGCGTATTTCCCAGTATTTATACTACTTTTAATTAAAATTAACATTTTGTAAAAAAAAAAAATTCTTGCTGAATTGATGTTTTAGTTAATTTTCAATGTAAATGGAATGCGGATAACTTGTTATCCTTCAAAACGGTAGTGCAAGTGTATGAAATTATCAAATTAACTTAAATTAGAAAGTTATCTTGACAAAACAATCCTTCCTATTTTGAAGGGATAAGGCTAAAAACTTAACTGCTTGCGTACAAATACTCACGAGAGATTTCTAATGGCTAAGGGATGCTTAACTCCGTCGTGAATATAGAAGTTACATTCTCCGATCGGAACGCTTCCACTCCCAAACTCCGATCTCAAGAAACGAAGTCAGAGGAACCGAAACAGCACACTGCTTCCTGATTTCAGTGATGACCAATTTCTTCTCCAAATTCGGATCCTGCTACCGTCATCCGCGATGGAGACGGCCGGCGACGGACGACAGGCATCTCTGCCACATTGGTACTTCCGGTGATTGCCGTCGCGTGGGGAGCAACAGAGTCTATTGTCGCCGGAACCGCCCATCGCATTGGCGTCCGGCGCTGTCAGTGATCATGGAGGACAGTCTGGATCAGGATCATGGCAACAAAGTTTACAGGCAATCCGACAAGTCGTCCGGAAAAAACAAATCAGTGGCGGATGTTGCCTGTATCTCCAAATATGATGACAAGTGAGTGTTCATATTTAGCCAATCAAGAAATTAATCGGTTGTTCTGAGTTTTGAACAGTCATTGATGTTTTCGTGTTTTGTTTCTCAGGGAAAGTCCGATGAAGCCTAAAATATACATTTCGCCGTTCTCCGCCACACCGTACATGTTTTAAGCTTAATTAGACTCTCATAGTTGATCTCCTGCATATGTTCATAGCGTGAATCTCTTAATTGTATATTTCACATCGTTGTTTAATTAGGTTGAACAGCTGTAAATTATCAGGATATAAAGTACTCTGCTATATATTTGAAGCTTCGAGCTTTGAAATCGGAAAGCTGAAAACATCTGGATATGCTCACTTTCCCCTCTCTATTACGATTAAAATAAACATTATGTTTTATGCAATTCATTGCCCGTTCATTAAGCATTATGTCTTATGCAATTCATTGAAAATTTATGTACATTCATAGATAAGGGGCAATTGCTGGTTGATCAATAGTTTTCCTCTTTACTCGTTCATTACAAATGAAGCCATCAGAGTGCCAATTTTACCTTGGGATCTGTTTGACTTGTGTTTCAAACGAAAATCAAAGGCAATTTATGTGCAACAAAAGTTTACACATGATCTGTCACCCAAAAAAAAAAAAAAAGGTCCACACACGACCTCAGACTATTAGATAGAAACGAATACCACAATTCTAAAACCTCATAGGATTTATTGTGCATTTGTGCATGCATCCAGCCAACTTTGTCAATAAAAACTTTTAAGTTGTTCTGTCTCTTACTTTGCATTTAAGATCTCATATATCTAAAATCAAAGTAAACAAAGCTAATAAAACTTATATAAATTAAAAATAATAAATAATGTAAATATAAAGTAAAGAATCAAAATGAATATAAAAGAAAAAGGAAATCTAATAAAAAAATATTCAAAGTGCGTCAATCAATTCCAAATTTGATTTCAAACTTTCTTATGACTTAATCCCATAACAATTTTTGCACTGAATGCACAAATGTCTGTAGCTTTCTTTAACTAGATCTCATGCGTGTTGTTACTTATTATAACGAAATTCCCTATTTTTCACGGTAAATGTAACTATAAACGTAAATTTTCGTTGAATTTGTAACTGGACCTTCGCTAATCGCTAGTTATAGCGTGTCTATCTCTCTCTATCTATCTCTCTCTATATATATATATATATATATAAAGATTCAAGTTATAACACATAACGACAACAACACCGATCGAATATTGTTATTAAGCTGAAGTATATGAAGGAGGCCTCCATACGTGGTTGGTAAATAGAGTAGTATATCCAACGGTAATGGCCTCAAATGGATGTACACTAATTTGACGGATTGTGAAGGGCACTTCGTTTTCATATAACCAAGGAAGTGCCCGTTCTAGGCATTGTGATGATCATCTTGGAGTTTGTGATAGATAGCTTAGGTTTCCTGTGGTTTATTGGTGGGCCAACTTACAAGGTAGTTAATACTTGCGCATAGCTTGGTGCAAAGAGGGCCTAAGCCCAAAATAGACAACTAAACAAAAGGGCCCCCGGCCGGGAATAGATCACAGAACATCATTGTCGAACACACTTTTCAAATGAGGAGGACAAAAGCTTAATGTAGCAGTACCCCATAAGCCTTCTTTATAGCAAGAACGTTCGCTAGTTTGTTTTCCTCTCTTGGAACATAGCGCAACTCTAGATCCCAATGATACTTCATTAAGTTCTGAATCTGAATAATCAACAGATTTGGCACCTCCAAATGCTCTATTTTGTGAAACCTATCAATTAGGACAGTTTGGTGAATTCTTGAATAAAATGTTTTGGATTACTGCATAATACTACTTTCGGTTTTTAATATAAGAACTTATTTGATTTTTATTTTAGTTTTAAATATAAGACTCCAATCTACCCTGTCTTTTATATTTATTTATTTTTTCTAAAAGATAGTTCTTGTAATAATAATAATTTTAACCAATACATTTTATTAGCAAAAATATTTTATGAAAGATAACATCTATTTATTACAAATAACTAATTTAACTAATTTTTTTAATCAGCTCTAATTAGTCAATTAGTTCTTATATTAAGGACAGGAGATAGTATAAGCAGCTGGCCCAGAAATCTTGGCCCCATCTTAGAAAAAGATCTTTTGGCAGCCCGCTGTTAGATGGCGTAACATATGAGACTCCACTGGATAGAGAAATGGTTCAATGGTTGAAAGTGGAAACACGGGGCGAACGAAGTAAAGTTTCTCTGTTTCAGGGACCTTCAGGCCGGCCTGCCTCTTTCAACGCCGAGAGTCTCTAGGTCTTCGTTCCTTTTACTTTCGTTCTCGTTCTCATGCAATGTTTTCATTGACCTTTGGTTGTAGGGCACTCAGTGTCAATTCTTTTACTCTAATTTAGCATAAATTGAAAGGAAGAAAGAAAAACCCCGTAGGGTGGGGGGTTTATATTTGAGGTACAACCGTGTCATCCCGTCTGAAACACTTGGAGCGTTTAATAATCCCTGAGTCGAGCAAGCAAATATGATGGCTGGAAAGTGGGAAATCTGATCCAATGTGCAGCAAGGTCTCGTCGTAACTTTAACATATTCCTTGTGATCAGCTTTCCTTTTTTGTTATGCTCCATGTGGTACAAGCGACATCTTTACTGACAAGTATTGTTGCTATTATATATAAGCAAACGAAGAAAGAGCATCCAAAGTTTTTTAATGAATGGTCATTCGAGAAAATCAAGTTTCATAGCATGGCTTCTGTACACAAGAAGCTGGCAGGGTAGGCTCTGAATTGAGTGAACTGTGAAGATTCTGAATTCTCTATGTTAAGATTTTATTTTTGTTTTTAAAATCAAAGGGGAACATCAGGCTTTAATACAGAGGAGTTGCCTCACTTTAAAGACATCGATGCCGTCGCCTGTGACTGGTGCAATTTTCGAGCATCTCTCCACATGAACGTTGTTGATCCTAGTAAGGGACATGCCATGAGCTTCAACCCTTTTCATATCTTTCTGAATTTAGCTTGCAGTACACACAGAACTCCCGACTAATTATTATGCTTGCCTTCCTTGTTCATGTCTTGCTTCACGTGCCCCATTTTCTGCGATGGATTGCATGTAAAGCAGAAATAATTAATTGAATTGTAATTCATATTCTGCTTTCCTGAGGGTATATATTCCTCAGCATTTATTTATTATTACATCCCTAGCATAGAAAACTTAAGACTTCGCTATGCTTCATCAAGTGCAAAACATTCTCATAATTAATAAATAGAAAGAAACAATACAATTTAATTTTATAGAGGAAGTTATTGATATAGCATGCTTAAAGAACTAACGATTTACCAGTCCGCCTTGAAAGTCAAGGAATGAATAAATGACTTAATAACATGTTCATACACCATGGTCACGCTATTCTGTGAGCTGGTTTATACCCTCCTTTACTCGCTCCCTATCATAAAATTCCAACACCCCATACAAAAAAGAGAACACACACACAAAAGCAAACAAAAGTTCAGACTAATGACGAAAGAAACTTTTTTCCTTTTTTCCATTTAGTCCATCTCCTACAGCTTTCATTCTATACTCTTTATATATAGCCCCTCCACCATCTGTTTTCTCACTCTCGCGCATCCTCAACCCACAAACACGTTTCGTTTTCTTTATTCTCACAAATGGCAAGTCCGGGGGGAATGTTTCTGTGTTTCTTGATCGTGGTCTTGGATATCGCGGCTGGAATTCTTGGCATCGAGGCCGAGATTGCACAGGATAAGGTATGCATACGTGGATAAATGGTGGCTAAGGCTAAAGGCTTGCTGTTCTATTGGCTTAATTAGCTTCAGATCAAACAGTTGAATGTTTATTTGGTTTTTTTAACAAACAGGTTAAGCACGTGAGGTTGTGGATATTTGAGTGTAGGAACCCAAGTCACCAAGCTTTCATGTTGGGTTTAGGCGCTGCACTACTTTTCGGGTTAGCTCATGTGATAGTCAATTTGATTAATGGCTGTAGCTGTGTCTGTTCTCAAGAAGAGCTTCAGAAGGCTCCCCCAAATAGGCAACTCTCTGTAGCCTCCCTCATCTTAACCTGGTATTGTCTCTCAAACTTGGATATATCCTTCATAGCAGAATAATAATAGAAGATAAAATATGTTATCTTCAATAAGAATTGAAGGGAGGACTATATGTTGGCTAGTTGGTCCATGGAGTCGCACATCAAACTACTATAGAAAAGTTATTGATTAAAAATACTATTTCTTAAAAAAGAACTATTGCTACTTTGCAATAATTTATTCAATTTTGTCTTGAAAACAAAGAGCTTGTGGTTGATAAAAGCAGTGCGGTGGGGGATGACTAAGATGTGATTTGGTTTTATGAATGGTTCAGGGTGGTGTTGGCCGTTGGATTATCGATGCTGGTGATAGGGACGATGTCAAACAACAAGCGAGACGGCTCGTGTGGGCTGTCGCATCATCATTTTCTGTCCATTGGTGGCATTTTGTGTTTTGTTCATGCCTTCCTCTCTGTTGTTTATTACATTTCTGCCACTGCCTCGCTGTAGGCTGCAGGCTCCTCCTTCATCATAATTTGTCATTCTCCATTGTCATTCTCCATCATGTAATCCCCAACCAAAAAGGAAGTTCCTTTTTATTCTGAAGATGACCAAGCTGTAGCTGTTTTCACAGTGCCATATTATTGAGTTTTTATTTTTCCTTCCATGTTAAGTTTTGAAGCCCTATAGTGGCCACAACCACAGGCACCTTTTATTAGATACTTTTCCCCCTTTATGTTCATTAGTATTTGATTTCTTAAACATTAAGTTGGCTTGTCAATTTCGCTTTATCTTGACATGATTTTGTTGTAGTATCTCTCTTACATAGTCACTTACTAATGGTTTAAAAGAATCTAAGGGATATATTTTGTCCATCACAAATATACTTTCCCAATCCAATTAGCAAAGGCCGCCATGAACATAATCATCATTTATGACTCCTACTCTTGCTTTCAATTCACGAGGCAAACTTATGCAGATGATTCTCGACACATAAACCTGGATTGTATAATTGTTATTCCCGTTTACGTGCACAGGGAATATAAATATTCCACCAAAAGAGTGACAAATGCCCAATGAGGCAACGATGGAATCATACCCTGCCCATGGGATTAATTCAGAAATTTCATCCTCTCAAGCCAGTGCCAAAAGGCAATGCTTGCCCTCTACCAAATCCATGGGTAGGAAGTGGAATTGCTGGCAATATTGTTTTACTCGTTTGCATATAACATCGAATTCCCTGTAACCCCCCCGGGGGGGGGGTCATTCGAAGACAAAAGAGCAAGTTTCACACACCTTGAACAAGCACAGCATTATGCAGAGAACTAAAACATAAGCTGTTTGTTACGTTTAGAAAGGGATAAAGGAGGAATCTGTCAATTGAATTGTCCATTATTCACTCAATATCTTTTCTATGATTCTCTCGAACACTCCCTCTAAACAATCCCCATCTTAATCTTCACTTCTCAGTCGTTTGCTCGGGTGTCTAACTTGATGTTCGAATTTTAGCGAGCGAAACGGTGCTCTTCTTTATCTCTCAAGTGAAATCTGAAATGGGGACATAAAGCTTACACAGCTAATATCAAATGGAAATTCCTTGAACTTCTTGTTTTTCATTAACTTCATCTGACGTATATTTTAGAAGTTTAACATCAATATCAATCAATATCAATATTAGTATAACATAAAATCCGAAATACTGTAATATTCGTGAGTCAAACAAGTCATAACCAGTGTGCCTTGCCTCAAGCTTCGTATAACGGAGGGAGAGATGTATCCAGTTTACTTGAAAGTTGGAAAAAGCTCATGACCGTCTAGCCGACGAAAACATCCACAGCCTTCACCATTTAAGATATGAAATTCATTTCAGCCATTTTAAAGATGTTCATGCCATTTCCAAAAATTTAAACGTGACATTCGTTTGATCAACGTACATCAAAAGCAGATTGGAAGGGGAAAAAAATGGGATTGATTGAACTCGCCATATTGTCCCGTAGAAGTCCTATGACGGCAAAAATGTATTTCACATAAACAAACGATGTACCTTATCATGGCTAGAACACTAAGACATGGATGATTTCATCGCTTCTAACATCAGTTTAGCAGAGTCGCGAACCAACTCGACCTTCTTCAAGTACAATTTGAATTCATCTTCCTGCAACTTCCTCCACTTGCTTTCCAATTCCCTGGTCCTCGCCCTCCCTATCAATGGCAGAGCTTCCTTCATAACACTTGCAGCACCCTCTGGTATCGACATCCCATCTGCCAGTAACGCGTCAAAGAATGACGAATTAGGGCTTGCTAGTTCAGCATTAATTTCACCATTCGGTAATGCTGAAGCAGAAGTCTTGGGTTCGCTCTGAGTTGGCTTTCTCTTCTTCTTAGCACTATCATCCACCCCATTTGTCACGGAAGCTCCCCAAATTTTCTTCGATAGATCGAAAAGCCTGGAGTCATGTGGCTTGCCAAGAACAGGGGCTTCACCATTTTTACCCTTTTCTGCAGTGCTCTGGTATTTCTGTTTCAACCTCTTGATTTTGTTCTTTAATTGGTCCTTCGACACATCGGCGTGAAGATTTTCCTTAACGAATCCATAAAAAGCCTCCATATCAGCCCACGGGTCAGCCCCTTTCTCGGATTGGTACTCGATCATGCCCTCCAAAATCGCAACCTCGTCGTCTCCACTCCAAAGGCGTTGAGCACCTGATCCCCTTTTCAAATCTTCATCCTGACCATTAGATACTTTATTCTTCTTTGACTCTTTCCTTTCAACATCATCGCTTTCCCGGGAGCGCTTCACGCCGCCGGTGACAGTCTTAGTTGGCGACATGGTCAACTTCCGGTTAGCGGAATTTTTCTGGGACTGTACGGAATCTTTCATTGGTTTGGACGCAATAGGCTTGATGGTGAAGGCGGAGGCAGATGGCGAGGGCCGCGAATCGTCGGACTCCGTTTCCGACCCAGCTTCGTCGCCGGAATCTGACGCAGATTGGTCTTGTGTACCTTTTAGAGATTTGGTGACAGGGGTATTATTAGACTTGGGCTTCTTATTCTGATGGCTGTTTTCGTCTTCGTCTTCGTCTTCCAGTCCTTCGGAATCACCATTTTCTTCGTCTTCTTCGGCAACGTCGTCCTCTGTTTCTTCCTCATCTTCCGAGGAAGAAGCAGGTGGCGGGTCCTCTAGAAGCCGCTTTGGAGCCATAACGACGGAACTAACAGACGAATAAGAAGCTCTTCAGCAGTAATGGAAGCGAGAGGGAATGAGAAGCTGCAAACGTCGTAGGGTTTTGAAGTTAAGCTGAATCCTAAGTTTTCATTTTCAACTTCCCCCCTCGTCCAGTTTTCAGCTATTGTAAATTAAACCCTAGCCCAAAGATGATCTTCAGCCCAAGTCCGCTTTGCCTTCTTTGTTGGGCCGTAAAGAGCAAATTAAATTTAAACTTATGGTCAGTGATCACAAAAAACTCGGGATATTTTCAAGGGGTCCTTAAGATTTAAATATTTTCATCTCATTGTTTTCTAATTCGTTAATAATTTTAGGATATGAACTTTAATCACAAGTAAACATGATACAATATTTCAATTTCAATTGATATATTTTTTTTTTTTTTTTTTTTGCAAAAAAGATCGAGACAAAATTGATACTTACCTCAAAGTTGAAGAATATGTTAAAAACTGAAAATAAATCTGGTAACTGGAATATTTTTGAAAAATTTAAAATTCTAGTAGTAGGAAATAAATAGAATTGGTAGAGGTATAAATTAATAATAGAATAAAGAAGGCACAAAATAAAGATTATGATCTAAAGCTTGACAATAGTTCAGCTTCAGCGTGGGAGTAGTAAAAGGGAAAGATGTTTTGGGGGTGACAGCTGAAGTTGCACTTTCTTTTGCCCTTATTAACGCTATTATATTGATAAAAAAAAATCACCATTCTGGTATTAATTAAAATTATTATTGAATTTGAGCTTATGAGTTGAGAGATTAGCAAGCGAGATATCCTTTGGCTTCATCATCTTAGAGAAGGTAAATTTGGAAGTTCAATGAAACGCTAAGCAACTCCAAATACACGGGCACTCTTAACTCTTTATTCAATAGTTTGACAACACAGTACACGACGTTGAAATACCGAAAGCTTCTTATTCATAATTCACTCAACAGATATCTCCAACTCCAAGTGCCACATTGTGGCATTATTTCTGGGATTGCACACATGGGAATATAGGGGTAAAAGTGGTAATCTATTCCATCTGGCCTTGAAAAGATCTTTTACACCTGGTTGGCAAGTCAAGCATCAACTTTCATGTCTGTTTCTGATTCCCATGGGAATGGCGGAATTGGTTTGGTTGCTTCAAGAAGAACTTCGATAGGAATCTTTGGTTTTGATGGCTTCAACGGAGTTAAGTAGTGACCATACTTTTGAGGGTCTTCTATGTAATCCTGCAATGTTGAGGAAGAGTTAGAAGAAGCCAGAGGCTTTTAAATACTGTAGTAAATGCAGTGTCAAAACCATTGTCATAATAGTGTATGTATGACAAACTGCTCACCAGATCAGCATGCATTTTTCCAACAAATTTCTTGAATATTTCGAAATTTGATTCTCCCAGAAGATCATCTGATAGACGCAGGTATGTTACCCCATACATTTTCAGTTTTGGAGGGCCACTTTTGTTGACACCATTTGGTCTAGCATTCAGGAGGATTTGGTTGTAACCTGTTGCATCATACCTTGAAAGTGCATTTTCTCCAGCAACTTCAACGTCTTCTCTCCAACCTCCACTCAAAACCTGCACAAAGATTTGCCTTTTTGGTAGTTCAGCATTGCCATACAACCATTTGAATGTGACATAATGTCCAAAAAGTAGATTGGGTATTAAACTGAAGAAAACTTCTGATGCATTACCTGTTGAACAAGTTCCTTAGGTCCACTTTTGGCATTAGAGCTTTGTTCTGAATCCCTCATCTCAAGACAAGTGAAATTCAAAATAGCATCATGACGAGACAGCATTCGTGCTATTGGTCGATACCCGTCTCTATCATCTAGGTTGTAGTATCCAGTAGTAAGCTCAGCAGCATGACTTGGAGCTTTGTACCACCAGTGTATTCCTGAGACCTGTTTTGTCATGGTTGAGAGTTAATTGATCTGCGTATACAAATGGAAGCCAGTGTTGTGAAAGTCTGATGCATCATGAATATACTTTTATTGCTAATTTAAGTTTACAGCCAAGAAAAGCTTTGTTGGCTTCATCAAGGATCTGATCAGCATGTTCCAGCAATCTGTTTGAGTACCAAGTCAGGAAGAACTTCCCTCTCTCAGTGAGGTATGTGCCGTCTGGTTTAAAGAAGTCAGTGGATTCTGGGACATCATTGTACTTCCCTGCATCATCTGGCAGTTCCCATTCAGAATGTCCAGCGGATGTTGCTGCCTTCTTGAAATGTGCTTTCAGGTATTTGTCATAGCACTGCATGCATAGTTTTCAAAAGAATGATGTTACAAGTACGACAACCTATTAGCCTAGTCCTAGTGAAAATTTCTAGACTAACGAGCTTACCTGAAATTCTCCAATACCAGGATAAACCCATCCCTGGCTTTGTGGATAAGAGGGATATCTGAGCTCTCCTGCTGGACCAAGCCCGACTTCAATGTCTATGATGAGTCCAGCTTCCAGAAAATCGGACATGTTTTCTCTGAAACTCTTCATGTAGTCACTGTATATCTATAAAGCAACTCAACAAGTGATGCGGCTGATTCAGTAAGCTTCATCAGGAGTGAGGAATGCGAAGCTAAACCTCCCACATTCTTGTTCAATGTTTAACCAAACTTCATAGCCCTCTTACACTACAAGCATACTTTGCGTAAAGCTTAAAATAGGTCGATTACAAATTTTTCTACAGATAAATGATATAATAATGCAGATTGAAGTATATGAACAGTGAGAGTTTAACAATCAGATCTGATTATGTAGTTCTTCTCTTTCAGCAACAATATTCAGAGTTACCACGGAGAAGAAAGAAGAGTTCATTACCTGAATGGCGGTTCGTCCATGGAAGAGAGGCTCGTTGTCAACGCCATTAGTGAGATATTCTTTGTTTCTAGTGCCAGAGCGATTGGTATAGAAGATATCAGGGTTTGATTCTCCGATGTCGAGAACCCACTGAGGAATAGGGATGTTGACGACATCTCCTACGTTACCTCCGCATTGGTGAAAGGACATGATGGCTTGCAGTTTCAAGCCACATTCGTGGACCACTTGAAACAAGCTCCTATATGCGCTCCAGTCATATTGCTTAGGTCCCTTCAGCTCTATGATCCCCCACCACACATCAACCATAACCCCATCAACCCCAGCTTCATGTAGCTTCTGTAGCTGTCTCTTCAGCCCTTCTGGGTCTTGGAGCACATTCTCAACAGTAACAACTCCGAGCTAAAGTAGGGCATAAATTAAAGTTAGGGCGAAAAGAAGAAAAAGAAGAAGAACAGGCTTGGTTAATTCTTATACATTCCACAGAATAGACAGTTTACAAGTGTGACAACTTACTGGGAGCATGACGTAAATTGGAACATAGTTTGTGGCTGGAATGGAAGACTTTGTTGCTGCCATTTTCTTGTTTCCTGAGTGAATTGAAAGCGGAGATGCTTGCTTGCTTGCTTGAAGAAGCAACCAGAGGGAGCCTTTTATAGAAAACCAAGAGCATTGCAAAGACATGTACAATATAAAAAGGAAATTTGGGAATTTCTTATTTTTATATTCATTAATTTCTGGTTTTTCCTATGGTGGTTGTGATATATAATTCGGTTAAATTGAATTTCTACATTTATATTCACATGCATTTAGAGAAAAAATGAGATGGAAAAAAAATGAGAAATATGAGAAGGGTAAAAACTACAGGGGAAAAGATGAGCCGCATTAGTAAAAGTTAGATTGGTTGTGCCCGTCCCTTGGACGGATGAAAAGGTTACATCTTTGGCGATCATCTTGATATGACTAACAGGGAAAAGCTGATATGACTACATCTAATCCACCATTGCCAACAAAAAAGCCACCATATTAGAGCAGCGTCCATCTGTGCTGAATGCAGCATGGCTTTATTATGAAGGTGGTGCCCACTGTCCTAGATATCTTTGAATATATCATATCAACTTTAATACTCCTCCGGTTCTAATTATAAGACCCAATTGACTTATTTAAGGAGATTAAGGAAGTAAGTTAAGTTGGTTATTTATAATAAATAAGTGTTGTCATTCTTAAAATATCCTTACTAATTAAGTATATTGGCTAAAACTATCATTATTAGAAGAATTATCTTGGAAAAAAATGCATAAATATAAGAAACAAAATGGATTGGGTCTTATAATTAGGACCAAATAAAAAGTTAAATTGGGTCTTATAATAAGGATCGGAGGAGTATCTCATTATGAGTTACTTATGACCCACACGCGAACAAATGAGCTTGCCTTTTATTTCAGCACATCAGAATTGCCTATTTTATCCTGTTCATTGTGGGGACGATGATGGGAGGTAGCAGATTACTGAATTTAGTGATCGACTCATCAATCCAATCACCTGAATGATTTGCATGACGGAAAAGCATTTTCCTATTTTGTTCATATTGCCCCCCCAGGGGGGCTTTTTCCCCTCGTTTTTTTTGTTTTTGTTTTTGGGTTTAGATTGAATATTGAGGAGATCTTAGCTGTAATAACAATAAATAGACCAATGCTTGTATCAATAACTGCACGTGGCCAAAAAAAGATCAATAACTACACAGGTTTGTTTGATAATGAAATCTGCTTTTGTCGGGTGGGGGAATTTGTCGTTGCCTGTTTTCTCTATGAATTCCTCCTGATTTATTTATACAGATGCTGTAAAATGTGAGATCTCATCATCTTCTCGTAATGCTTAGACAACATGTCGTTATTCAGAAGCCTTTAAGATCTGTAGCTGAGGTTCTATCATTTCATTGTGTATACTGATCAGTTTCACAATATTCTTTTGCGCATATCTAAAACTAATCTAGCTTTTACTATTTGGCATTGTGCAGATAGATTATTTTGGGCTGAATACCCGTATGCCTTAATGGAATTCACATTTTGATATTCCTGAATATTGAAAACAGAAAATCTAATGCAAATTTGAGTTTGCTGCGCCTGTTACATTCGTATTTATAGAAAATCATGCAAAAGAGAGCACATTTAGAGCTCTTATTTATATACCGAAACTTTTATTTACTTTCCTCCAAAGTTTTTTATTTATCATTGTCACACCAGAGCTAATGTACTTTGCAATCCTTTCTTTGCAGTTTAATTTATTATCCTCCACTACATCATTTATACTAACGTTATGATGCGATTGAACCGATCAAATTTCAATGTTGGTGATCAATAATATCATCACGATTATGCAACAGGCCAATTATTCTTTGCCTTTATCTTTAATTTTCATTCTAAATTCTCACAACTCTTATAACCCAAAATTAAGTACTTTAGAACTAATTGATAATTTTCTAACAAGCCAAATTATTTATTTACATCCTCCAACTTATTTACTTTAATAAAAAGAATTTTCTAAAATTTCTAAATATGAAATTAGTATATTCTAAATTTTAAAAATCTCATTTGAAATTTAAACCTCAAAACCGGACCATCAAAAATTCAATAGTATCTCAAATATTTATATATATAAATAATCTAATCAAAATTTTAATGGCATATATATATTTTTTTCATAAATAAGAAACTTTAACTACAATAATTATTTTAAAACCTTCAGTCACCCAATAAATAAAACTAAACAGATTAAAATTTTAAAAATATGTCAAACAACCCAAATAAATTATTTAACTTAATTTTAATCGGTATAAATATGATATATCTCATAAATAACATTTTTTTAATTAAAAATTAATTTTTAAATACTAAAATCAACAAATAGACAAATCTAAACCAGTAAAAATGATATACTATAATAGATCTACAATGCTGTGGTTAACACTCATCAAAACTAAATACTTGCTCTGAACTCTATATCAAAATTTTTTTTCTAAGCAACACAAAATTATTATCATTAGATAGATCTGACTGAGTAGGACAACTTTCATGAAGGAATTTTTGTAATTAGAAGTAGTTTTACTTACTAAAACTATCTGAAACGATGAAGAAAGAAGGGGGAGAGATGAGCGACGCTGCGAGCGGAATGAACGCGGAGAGAGCGAAAGAGAGGAAGAGAAAGAAGACAGGGGAAGGTAAAAAGAAAACACTTAAGGTAAACTGAAGTTAAAAACCCTAGGTAAAACGGAAAAAATAACAGTTTGAACCCCTTTTTTTTAAAATATTTAAATCCTTAGAGTAGAATTTAAGATGTTACAAAGAACATATTGAGAAGCTAAATGATTTGTCATCTCCTTGCATGCAAGTCTACTTTGTTTTTGGTAGCCTATTTCTCGTGTTGTTATGTATTCCCCTATATGTATATATTTATCCATGTTACTTCTTTTTTTGTGATTGGATCAGTTGCACAAGTTACTTTAGTTTGTTGCATTTGAATTCTAACAAATATTTTCTTCAACTGCAAATCATAGAAAGTAGGGATAGATTCAACTACAAATAATGGAGACGGTGATGGGAGGCAGGGGAGTGGCTGCATAGCAAATCACTGAAGTAAATGATTAAGCTTATCAATCCAACCAAATAATTGCTGGACTGAAACATCGCTTTCTGATTTTGTTCACATTTCTTCCCCTCCCACTCTTTCCATTCATTTATTTTTTTCAGCTTAGATTGAATATTGACAAGATCTCTGCTACTAGATCAACAAATATACCGCCCACGCTCATATCCGTTTTCTCATTCCATGCAAATGGTTTCACTGGTTTGGTTGCTTCAAGAAGGACGTTCGTTGGAATTCTTGGCTTTGACCTCTCCATTGGGACAGTGAAATGATTGTATTGTTCAGCGTCTGGAATGTAGTCCTGCATTTTATGATCACCTTAGTTCAGAAACCACGAAAATCATCATCTTCTCCAATTAAATAGGTTCTGTAAAAACCTATTTACCATATCAGCATGCATTTTTCGCACAAAGATTTTGAATACGTAAAAATTTGATCTTTGCAGTAACTCATCTGACAAACGCAAGTATGTCACCCCATACAGTCTTTGTCTTGGAGGGCCCCGTCTGTTAACTCCACTAGGCCTAGCATTTAGAAGAATTTGATCGTAACCTATCCTGTCATACCTTGAAAGTGCATTTTCTCCAGCAACTTCCAGCCCCTCTATCCAGCCTCCACTTAGGACCTGTATGTACACCCAATTTAGCCTGGCATTGAAACGACCTTCAGCAATAGAATGTTCGACATGACTGCAAAATAAGTAGGCAGAAAATTTATATTTATTTTTTCCAAGCTACGAGTAAATTATATAAAAGTATTTATTGTTTATTGGGATAAGAAATATTACTGTTTAGTGTCATATTATAAATGCTTATATTCTGATTTCACCTGCATATGTTCCTTGCTTTATCATACTTTGTGGCAGGTTGCTGCAATTTCTTTACTGACAACGTTGTAATTATGTACTAAAGTGAATGGGAAAGTTCATAAGATGATAGATTTCATTAGGGGTTAAGAAACCCTTCAGCAATACAAGGGTGGAGCCTGCGGATATCGGTAAGGGTAGGTAACGTACAAAGCTTTCTTTCATTCACAAAGAATCAATTCCATGGAGGTTTTCAGTCACAGACCGACTTGAACTTGCTGAATGCTGAGTAGGCATGAGATTTAGAATAGAGATTGGAATAAATCACCTGCTGAACAAGTTCCTGGGGACCACTTTTTGCTTCAGAAATTTGTTCGGAGTTCCTCATCTCAAGACATGTAAAATTCAATATAGCATTGTGTCGAGAAAGCATCCTTGCTATAGGACGGTATCCATCTCTATCATTTAAATTGTAATATCCAGTAGTGAGTTCCGCAGCATGATTTTCTGTGTTGTACCACCAGTGGATTCCAGCCACCTGTTTCCATAATATGCTATCAGATGAATGAAGCAGAGAAAAGAAATGGTAATGAGATACAAGTTACAGAATTTACTTTTGCAGCCAACTTCACTTTGCAGCCTATGAACGCTTTATTTGCTTCATCTAAGATCTCATCACCATGGTTCAGCAACTTGCCGGAATACCATGTCAAGAAAAACTTCCCTTTCTCCGTGAGGTAAGTCCCATTTGATTTGAAAAATTCCGTAGATTCTGGTTTGTCATTATATTCCCCTGCATTATCTGGTAGCTCCCATTCGGGATGACCAGATTTTGAAGCAGCCTCTTTGAAATCAGCTCTGAGATATTTGTCATAGCACTGCAGTATCAAGATGCATATATTTTCTTCAGTGCCATGATACACTTTGATGGCCTCATCCACAAGTTGTTATTGCAGTAAAACTCGTACTCACCTGAAATTCTCCAATACCAGGAAACTTCCATCCCTGACTATCTGCATAAGAGGGGTATCTGAGTTCTCCCGCAGGACCAAGTCCTACTTCAATGTCAATCAGGAGCTCAGATTCTAAAAAATCCGCCATATTCTCTCTGAAGCTCTTCATATAGTCACTATATATCTGCATTAAACGACTAATTTTAGATTTTGCAGGTTAACAATCCAAAACTGAACCCTCGATCATCAATTTTTCCCGCCCTCATTCGTAAGACTCTTGAGAAATTATGTCAGACGAAGCAAAGGCAGACCCGACGTATAAGATATCAAGACTATTGGTAAGACTCCGATTTCGAAAAGACTAACCTCAATGGCTGTTCTTCCATGAAATAAAGGCTTGTTATCTACACCAAGACTAAGATATTCCTTATTCCTGTTTCCTGTGCGACTTGTATAAAAGATGTCAGGGTCTGATTCTCCAATTTCAAGTACCCATTTAGGGAGAGGGATGAAAACAGAATCCCCTACATTCCCTCCACATTGGTGAAATGACATTATGGCTTGTAGCTTCAATCTACATCTTTTAACCAGTTGAAACAAGCTCCTATAAGCAGACCAATCATACTGCTTAGGTCCTTTGGATTCTACGACACCCCACCACACATCAACCATAACCCCATCAACCCCTGCAGCACGTAGCTCTTTGAGCTGTTTCTCGAGCCCATCTCTGTCTTCTAAGGCATTATCAGTGGTAACAACCCCCAGCTGGAAGGAGAAATCAGGGTCCAAATAGAACCCAAGAAACAGATTAATGCCAGCTAATTGAATGTAGTTGCACTGAACTTGATATCCAAAGACAGAGACCAAGTTCATGACTTACTGGGAGCATCACGAATACCGGCACATAGTTTGCAAGCATCGGATTGCTGAGAGTGGAAGTACTTGGAGCCTGCATATTTTCAGCAGAATTACAGAATGATTAAGAGAGGATGAAAATAGTCCTTCAACATCGTGCTTGCGTCATTTTGACGTGAGAAAAAGTTTGGTTTTCCTCTATGGCTCCTGCTCTTCGGAAGCAAAATGATAGTAGAAGGGGAGAATAAGCAAAAGGAAAAATATGCTCCCTCTTGATCTCTTATGCCCCCAGAATATATTAGTGCTAATAATTGGGGGTAAGAACAAGCTAATCGGTAGAAAACGATAAATAAAACACAATGAAATAAAATAAAGATAAAACGGTTGCTTTATTTGGGGAAAAAGAGAAGAAAAGACTCTGCACGGTAAAATATTTTCAATAGAATTATAAAGGCGAACCACTAATAATTTACCACATGTCTGCTTAGTCATTTTACATATTATGACATTATGGAATCGTTATTGTATCCCTATTATGATTTTTATATTGACGAGAAAAGAAAGGAGGTGGACCGTGGATGCATAAAAAAGTATCTCGTGCAAGGGTGATGATTGATGAACCAAGTCTCAGCCAGTCATCCTCGGCCACAGCTTGATGATTTTATGAGTGCCCTATGAGACGTAGAACTGTTGGGTTCTGCTTACCTCTGATTCTGCGACTGCTGCTTTGGCAGCCATCGTTTCAAATCTTGAAACTCGTCGGAAACTCAATGTGAGGCCATGCCTAGAACTCCTGGGACTCGTAATTCTTGTTGCCTCCGCGGGTTTCATTGCTCTGAGACCCTTTAACCTGGGGCGAAAATTCCTTGCTTGAACTCCAATTCTTCTGCCCAGTCCACCTTCCACCGGAAGCGGGAATCTTTCCGTGGTGACTTGGGCTACGCACGAACGCTTCTACCACCAATGTTGTCGTCGCAGATCATAGAAGGCGATTTTCTTCTTTTGGGTCGAGATTGTTCTTCATCGCTACTTCTAGTATGAAAATGTCAAGTGAATGCTATAGTATTGTGGCTCTCTGAGTGTGACGGCGGAGGAGAGTTGAAATATCAATCAAGAAGACGACATGGGAAGTACGTCTAAGAATCAACACGCACAAGTGGTGGGTGTTGCTTCTTCGCTCCAGCTTCTTGGACCGTTCTTGAAATCTTTTCCTTTTTTTCTGCACATGCTTCTCAAATAAATCATCGCTGTGCTGGTTTCTTGCGCATTTGTGTGGCTATGGAATTATGTGGCTTTCCAATGGGGCGAAACCATTTGTAAGGCCTCTGAATATGCAATTATATGCGATAGAAGTAACGAACTAGAGCCGCAGAGCCGTTTTGAGACTTTTGGCGGGGTCAAAAGAAATTATCTAGAGTTTTGTATTATATATATATATATATATATTTTAAAAAGTAACTCACAAACTAATGCGGAATTGCGGATGGTGCGTAGGTTCTAATGGTATATAGGTTTTGCGGTACAAACCTTAGGAGAGCCTTGCAACCAGATTACCTGATCTCATTCAATTGAGATTGGCACATAAAGGGTTGGGCTTAATATTTGAGTAGGTCATACGACAACCACCCTTTCTCGCCGTTATCAAGGATCATAGGACACAACTTTGCAGTCTTATCTTTTTGGGAGATTTGTGAATTTACTTCACAGTATCGTAGTGTGCTAAGGGCTTTGTTTGTGGTTTTTAGGGTTGAGTTTGATGTTTTTCTTTGGCTGACTATTTTTTTAAATTGGTGTTTGTAATAACTTTATTGTTTGAATGAATGAATACTTCTTCTGGCCAAAAAAAAATTGAGATTGGTAAATTGATTGGTGTTTGTTTCTAAGAAAAAGGGAAAACTTGGGACCTATTAAAATTTTTATTGATCAGGAAAACTTAAATCAAAGTACCTGTATCCTATGTATACAAATTTTTCAGAGTGTCGGATTTTTTTTGGTATAAAAAGGGGATTTCTTATCAATAAAAATTTTAATAGGGGATTTTTCTTAATTTAGAAAAAAAAAGTCAGTGCTACATGATGTGTGAGACTTGGACAGGAAGTTATGCATGGGCCAAAACATTGTTAATGCCCCAGTATAGTGTCAAGGGGCGTTTGGGCCCATGGACAAACAGGCCGAAAATCAAATTTAATTGAAATTGTTCTGAAATTTAACATTTGATATACACAAGAGCTATCTAAATTTAGTATCATGCTCGATCCTAATTATAAAATCTTACTTATAAACTATAAATAAGGTCTTATAATTAGTATCGGAGATAGTATCTGCTATTGACTTAAAGAAGATTGCCTCCAATGTAAAAATACCTATGCTTATAAACATACAGAAATGAAATTATTCTCTTTTTCACAGTTAATTGAAATTGTAAAATTTTATTTTTTAACAAAAATTAAGTAAAAAAATTTAAATTTAAATTTATTTTAAGTACTATTGTCTAAATAAATATAGATGTTTGAATTAAATTAGCTATTAAACCATGTGATATAAATATTAGCTGGGGAAAGCTGGTGTGGGAGAAAAATATTATTGATATACACTTATTGTTTTGCATAATATTCACAATTTTAAAACATCAATTTATTTTATTCCAGTTTAAAATGTCAATTACTTGTAGATCACAATCAATTAAGTCTTGTTTTTGTCTTGGAAAAATTCTAATTAAATCCACTTGAAATAGCAAAATACTAATTTAAGCTTACACTTTTAACAAATTCTTAATTAGTTCAAGAGGCCTAATTGGGGATTCCTAAATATTACTAAAAGACCAAAATGCCCTTCATAATTAAAAAGCCTAATTTTAGTTTTAATTCATTTAATTGAATTTAACTAACACGTTTTTTCTTTAAATATTATCACATGAAATTTGGCCAAAAACATTATCATATAAAAAACAAAAAAAGAAAAATCACGATTATGGCCAATAAAAAATAATTGAAAATTCAAGATAAAAAAATACATATTTCTAGATATCTATAGAATTGCAAAAATATAGGAACTAATAAAAATTTTACGATTTCAAATGTAAAATATTAAAAGATCAAATATATTTTTTTTGTGCGAGAAAAAATCAAATCAAAGATTCACGAAATTCTTGAATATCTATCAAAATTAATTTTACTATTTCACAACTTACATTGAGATTCATCAATTCATCTTCAATTTTTCGGTCTCCAAGATTTATTCAATATCAAATTTTTATTATATAAAAAAAACTAAAAGGCCATAAATTCTAAAGTTGACATAACATTACAATTACAAAACACACCTTTGACATAAATCTAAGAAAGACCACGTCCTCACTAGTAAATCTATTTGAATAATTAAAACTAAAATCAGATTTACACCTACATTCAATTTTCCTTTTGATTATAAAGAGGCATTCTGGTCTTTTAGTAACATTTGAAAATCCCTAATTAGACCTCTTAGCTTAGGAATTCATTAAAAGTATAAGTATTAATTGAAATTTTATTATTTCAGATGGATTTAATTGGGATTTTCCCTTTTATCTTTACTTGTAAAATATAATTTTTTTGAGTGAAAAAGAATTATTACTCCAATATTTACAAAGGGATCAGATTACAAACAAAGCTAAGAAAAGAGTAGCTAGCTTTTATCTTGCTAGTAGATATATGCAGAAATTCTCCAATCATGATTTAAAAACACAAATATGCAGAACTTCTCCAATCATGATGCAGACAATGTCAGAGGACAACTTTCGCATGCTGCGGCGGATCATTGCCCAGAAAAACCAAGTTTACTCCATTTTTTTTATACGAGTAAACCGTTATATGATTTTTTTAAAAAAGTTTAATAATAGAATTAGGCCTTGGCCTCTTGCAGATTAAATAATGAAATTGAATTAAGGATTAAGGATTTAAACTTAAAATTTTGAAATTAAAAAAAAAAAGGATAAGATTCTACCCAAAGCAAGGGACAAGATGATAGGAATTGACGATGATGATGAAGTGGGAGAGAAACTCAAATTAACTTGGTGATTAGGCGTGATTCATCCTGGTTCGTCTTAGATTCCACGGATTCATCATTCTTCACCCTCGATGAATAATGACAGTGCCTTCCTACTTTCTAGCTTGCTTTATCACCATATTGTCGTTTGAACGTTGACATGGGAACAACAAAGAAATGGTTGGTTGAACGTAGCCTGCCGTTGTTGGCAAAAAAAATTGGGATTTTTAAAATAATTTTTAATAATTTTTTAATCATAATTTATGAAATACTACCTCCGATTCTAATTATAAGAGCCAGTTGACTAATTTGAAGAGTTTAAGGAAGTAAGTTGAGTTAGTTATTTATCCTAAATAGGTGTTGTTTTTCCTAAAATATCCTTGTTAATCAAGCGTATTGACTAGAACTATCATTGTTAGGAAGGCTACTTTAGAAAACAATATATAAATATAAGAGATAAAATAGATTAGAGTCTTATATTTAATATCAAAATAAAAATTAAATAATCTTATATATTAAAATATGAGAAGTTTATATAAAATATGTCCAATAGGCAACAGTTAGACTGGGTGGGCTACGTTTGAGCCACCTCTATACAGCCCAACTCGTTGGTGATTAGTGATTAGCTGATTATACGAAGAGAGCCGGTGAGGGCAGCACAGAACAACCGAGGACTACGACAACCACCTTACTGGGAAAACCCACCACGCTCTGGTACTATCTTGAATTGGCCTTCACGTGCTCCAAATAATTCCAGCCAATCCCTTATTAGCCAGCCTAAACCACCACTCCTTCTCTCTTGACATTTAACTCTGCATGCTAGGCTGCTAGTACCTGATTTCTCCCTCCCTCCCTCCCTCTTCACTTCTCCCTAAAACGCCATGAGAAAAGACGAAAAAGAACAAGCAAGACCCACCACCACAGCCATATTCTCTCCTGATCCTTAACTGGATATACACAATAACAGTATCGGCTATTCAGACTAGTACTACACCATCTCTCTCCTTCAGAAACCGCCTTCCTACCCCCCACCCTGCTTTTTCGGACAATACAGTTATGTGTTACGTGGGCAAAGCAACAAAGATCTTCATTTTCATTGTCACCGTCCTCGTCGTTCTCGGTCTCGTCCTGGGTTTTGGCCTCCTCCGCCGCTCACACAGTAAAAATGTCAAATGCTCCGGCGATTCCTGCTTCTCTCCTCCTACCACCACCTACCCTGCCCCTAATTTTCCTACTCCCAACTTTGGCTCCGGCTCCGGCTCCGGCTCCACCCCGCCCACCCCTCCCAGTCCGATTCCACCTTATTCGAACCCTAGTCCGCCTCCGCCTTCGGTACCGATAACGAATCCAAGCCCACCTACGCCGCCGGCACCGGTAACGAATCCAAGTCCGCCTCCGCCTGACTCTAACCTCAATCCACCTCCGGCGCCTGTATTGCAGTCGCCGACTCCGCCGCCACCTTCTTCCCCGAGTGGGGCAGCCCCACCTTTGAGCCCACCCAGCTCGACGCAACCAGCCCTAGGTCCTGGGCAGGCTTAGCTGCATTTTGCGGAATTGAGTAAGGGGTCTAGAATTTTCTTGCTGGGAAATTGGTTTTGTTCGATTCAAGAGCTTTGCATAGGAAAATGTGGGTTAATTAATTGGCATTTATTTGTTCTATGCGGTTTTTACTACCAGAGCAAACATTCATATGCTTGGATTATTGATTCACAGTCTGCTTAATGAGCGATCGATGTTCATTTTCTTTATTGTTTTTCTCTGATTAATGACAATATGAATAGCGAGAGTGATGAATCTTTCACAGCTGGCCCCAACTTCCGCTAATTGCTCAGTTTACTGCATCTCTTTTATAAATTTGACAGTTAAGTGGAGTGAATTAAATTCACGAAGTTTTTCCTTTTACAATGTATGGGTGGGCAAAGGAATCCGATCGATTGGATCGGCACTGTGCAGTTTTGTTTTAAATCCGCCATTCTCTCCTTTTCATAAGTTATAGCTGTTCATTGGTCTTTAGATTCCATCAGAGGCTGCAATTTTTTTTTAGGAGCTGTAGCTTCCTTCTCCTCCTCTCTCTCCTTCTTCTTTTAAAAAATAAAAATAAGGTTTAATAATAATAATAATAATAATTTAAATACGAGGATTAAATGTAACAATTACCGAACTTATGAATAAAAAGAGATCGAGGGGTCAGAAACAAGACGAGGAGCTGCATAAACATTTACTCTAAAATGAAATAGGGTAAATTAACTTCTTTTTTTTTTGGCCAACGAGTAAATTAACTTGTACTACTACGGAGGGATGGCATCTTCTGCGAAGGGTAGGACATGCCATTAATTATTAATTAATGATTAATATTCATAATAAGGATAATATTAATAATAGTAGTAAAGTATTGGTGTCTTTGTCGTTATTATTAATAATTATTAGACTCACATCGCAGTGAAATGATTCGGATCCCATCTCTGCACCAATGGCAGTTATGCAGGAAGAATTTCTCCTCGTCATCAATCTAACTTAACCATAGTATATTCTGGTAAAGCATGTGTTCAGACAAATTAATCAAATATTGATCAATAACTATGTTAATATTTTTTCAAACACAAAAACTATACAATAAAATTATAAAAATCCTGTTTTAGACCTTCCTTCTTTTAATGTCTTTACCTGGCAGATTACAAAAACCTCCCTTCCCTAGGCCGACAACGGACAGGCCCAGCCCATATCAGGGCCCTACCAGTTAAAGCAGGGCATCTTCCTTTGCTGATTCATTCGCTACTCTTTTTTGGGTCAATCTGGCATTCTCTTATTTTGATTGTGAAAGATGACAATGACAATTGACAAACAAAACTAAGTTACACCGACACTTTATCCATCATAAATCAAACAAATGAACAAAGTTTATTCGATAACATATACGAGAATGGATGCAGCTGGTGATGAAGGTCGAGGCCCGCTAGCATCTCAACAATATAATGCTGATAACTTAGCTCATCTTCAACCCCGGCCACCCGACATGAAGTTCTACGCTTTGAAAAATGGGTAATTCTCATAGCGGACATTGCAGCTTCCGCGTACAACTCTTGCACTAATTTTACCAGCACAACAATCAGAAAGTTTAGCGATTGCACCGTCCAGGCACTTCTTGCAGTCGTCTTTAGAAAGATCCCTGGTGCACTGAGTCAACCCGTACACCGTCATATTCTTCCAATGATCCCCAAGCTTCAACTCTCCCGCTGCATACATCTTAGGGTTCGCATGAGCTTCCTCGGCAAGTCGGCTCAACGACTCCTTCGTCTTGTTGTTGAAAGCGTCAGGATCACTCACGTTTTGCAAGCTCCACGAGGAGATCGCGTGCGCGTCATCAATGCGGCCAAAGAAATCTTGGTCCCAATACTTGAAAAAGCAATGGTCGTAGAAGATTATGGCACCTTTCCTGTAGGAGCACCGTTTGAGGAGTTCGGTGGTTGCTTCAGAGACACAAGTTTTGCAGTCCGAGGAAGAGACATCGCCACGGCAAAGAGAGAGGCCGTAGGCTTTTTGGTTAGGGTATTGGCCAAAGGAGGCTTGACCGAAACCAGTGATAGGGGTTTCTTTGGTGAGAAATGTGATGAGCGTTTTCAAGTTTGAATCGAAAGGCGTGTTGGAGGTGAAGTTCTGGGGGTTTGAACAGAAAGTGGAAAGAGGATTGGCTCCGAAAGATGTTTGGAAAAGAAGAGCCCAGGTTAGGAGGAGGACAGTGGAGGCCGTGAGCTTTGAAGAAGACATATTGGAAGGAGCTGATGATGAGTCTGATGGATGACAATTATGCTGATATTGAGCTTATTTATAGAGGAAAAAGATCTCTTATGTGTTCTCTGGGGAATATAAAGAAAGGGGTTAAATTGCAGGCTGACATATTCTTTAAAACCTTTCATGCCAAGTCTATCCAGCTGCTATCTACCAAGTTCTTCATGACAGTGTCAAAACTCGAAAGCGAGCTGCGTGTTTAATTTATGTCTTTGATTATTTTATTAGTTGATGTTCCTCACATCTGGATGACTTCATCAAGCTTGGCAGCAGGCAAAAATATGTGAAGTATACCGATTCATCAATTACGGCGTCGATTATCTAATTTCAATGTTTCTACTTTCTACATTATACGCGTGTGGGTATATTTTTTAAATTCATAAATATTTATAAACTATATTTATTTTTATCGGGATCTTACAGACTAGTAAATTCTACATTTGTATGTTCAATATTTTTAATGAAAAAGATGATTAAATCATTAAATAAGCTTAAAATTAATCAATTTTCCTACCATGAAAATTAACCAAATTATTTCACAAGAAAAAATCATTATTTTCTCTAAATATAATTATGTAGATCTGTTCATATGATATAAAAAAATGTTAAAAAACTTGTGCACTCAAACTGTATTATATTTTTTCAATTAAGGGGCCAGACACTAATGTTGTGAGATTATAAATAAAATTGAACCTATGACCTCTAATGTACAGAAAGTTTTATAATACTATGAGGTCATTAGTTATTTTTAAATTTTAAATTAATTAACCACAAACTTTTCCACCCTTATGATCAACAGAGAGGAGAGATTTTAATGGGGGAGGGAAGATATAGATTATAGAGGGGAGGGGAAGAAAAGAAAAGTATTTTAATGATGCATTGTTTGGTATAGGAGGGAAAAGAAAGACAGCTATTTAAAAATCACCAATTTTACTCTTATAAAATTGTATACACATTTATAACAGTAAAATAATATACATCTGGATGAGGATTTTTTGGGCCAAGCAGATGAGGATTCAATACATTGTAAAGAATTTGAATAATGAGTCACAATATATTGTTCACCGTTCATACTTCATAAATTAGCGCCATTTCTCAAATTTTATATTTTATATAATAATCATAATATAATATCAAAATTTTGCACGGCACGCGAGACGAAAAGTGAAGTATAAAAATAACAGCTTCACAAATACATCAGAGGTCCAAAGTTCTCTGCTTAAACCCCATTTATCGTGGCCTACTCAGCCAGTGAATTCAATGAGACCCATTCAAATACTTCTGTGAAAAATAAGCAATTGAAGAAGTTCAGAGGATCTCCGCTGCTTTGGGAAACAATCATATCTAGACAATTCAAACAGATTTAATTTTTTTTTTTTATTTTGGTAAAATGATTATTTTAATGAACATAGAAATAAAACAAAAATAATCTTTTTACTATCATTTTTCTATTTAAAAAATTAAATCTAAATCATTCAAATTAGATCTGAATAATCTAGATATGATGAACTTGGAGTGCTTATTGCTCTTATGAGTACTAAAACTAATTCCCTCTGGCATATCATGTCATCATTTGTCTAAGTGTCATTAAATTAAATCTGTTCTCTAGTGGTTTAGCCAAATGATCAGTTTCATAGAGCTTAACATCTCATAATAAGAGAGAAGAGATCATCCCACGTCAGGATCTAATTATCATCATCATCATCATCAGAATGATTTTGATGATAATAACGTGCATTAAGCTGCATTGATTTTTTATTCATCAAATTGAGCACATGAACAAACTTTGTTCGCTCAACAACTTATTCATAAGAAATAATACTGAGTGTCGCCACTTCGTCTACAAATTAAAGTATATGAAGATGCAGAAGTATCATTGCCAATCGAGGAAGCTCATCAATCCACGACTGACAACGAAAATAAGTTTTACTCTTTGAAGAATAAACATATCATAAAGAGGGATCGATCGGAATAGATTGTGTACGACAATAAGCAGCACATATATTAAGATACTTTTACATTTTATTCGTCGAATCAAACAAATGAATGATCTGTATTCAACCACATAAACAATAATGATAATGAATAATCGTGAATATCCACGAGACGCACGAAGTTCTGTACCCTATTCTTTGAAGAAAGGGTAAATCTCATATTGCACGTTGCAGCTTCCGCCTAAAAACTCTGCCCCCTTGTTTCCCATTACAACAATTAGGAAGCTCACCGATCGAATCATATAGACAGTTCTTGCAATCATCGCTAGAAAGGTCTCTGGTACACTGAGTCAACCCATACACTGTCATGTTCTTCCCTTCTTCAAGCTTTAACTCTCCTGCGGCATACATCTTAGGGTTCCCATGAGCTTCCTCAGCAAGACGGCTCAACAATTCCTTCGTCTTGTAGTTGAAAGCATCAGGATTAGTGACATTGTTCACGTTCAACATGTAGAACTTGTTCGCATGATCAATGCGGCCAAGGAAGTCTTTGTCTGAATACTTGAACAAACAGTTGTCGTACCAGATTATGGCACCTTTCTTGTAGGAGCAACGTTTGAGGAGTTCGGTGGTTGCTTCAGAGACACAAGTTTTGCAGTCCGAGGAAGAGACATCGCCACGGCAAAGAGAGAGGCCGTAGGCTTGTTGGTCATGGTATTGGCCAAAGGAGGCTTGACCGAAACCAGTAAGAGAGGTTTTGGAGGTAAGAACTGTGATGAGAGTTTTCAAGCTTGAATCGAAAGATGTGTTGGAAGTGAAGTTTTGAGGGTTTGAACAGACACAGGAAAGAAAGTTATGGCTCCGAATGATGTTGGAGAAGGAGAGTCAAGGTTAGGAGGAGGACGGTGGTGGGGCCGTGAGCTTTGAAGAAGACATATTGAATGGAGGCGATAACGAGTCTGATGATTTTCGAGTGAGGGATGATAAATATGCTGATAAAGAGCTTATTTATAGAGAAAATCTCTAGTTTTGTTTTTGAGAAAGACAAGTCATTAACTAAGCATGTTGACATATTCTATTGACCACGCTAAGTCTCGTATTGGCCAGTTTTAATGAGACGGTGTCAAAAGTAAAATCCTTGGGATTTTTTAATTTCGTTGGCGTTCTCCGTATTCTTCAAAACAAAAAAAAATGACGAACTCGTTCGGATTTAATTTTCTCGGATATGAATGTGTCGTTTCGTTTGCTCAAGAAGATTTCATTTATTTGAATTTGTAAAGGGTTTTTTTCCCTCAGTTTGGGAAAAAAAATCCCATATTGAGTGCCAGAGCAAAGTCCATTTCATCTTCTGAGTCCTGAAACATATCTTCAGACTCTGTATATCATAAATTAACGCATTCAATCCTTGCATAACCTCGACATCCTGGTTTCATTCTTGGGGATTGAACATTTGAGATATAAACGAATCCAACTCTTGCATTCATTAAAATAAACTCTGCACATAATACACTGGGAGATTTTTTTTCTATTTAAATGATAATTTAAAGATAAAATATAGGTCTCACCCACAATTTTTCAAATGAAAGTTCAAAGATTTTTTTTTTAATTGTTTTTTGAACAACAGACCGCAAAGTAGAATTTGGGTATTATGGTTGATTAAAGGGCAAAAGCCAAGTTAAACACACCCATGGTAGGTCGACGTTTTACAGATTCACAAACTAATGAAATAATTAACCAAAATAACCAACTAAATAAAAATACACTGGACGACACAGGGGGCACAACTTAGCTGCTTCCATGTGCCATGTAAGGTTGAAATGTCAGAATGGCATTACTTGTGCCCATGGTCTCTGTCTGGGCCTCCCTGGTGTTCTGTTTAAAGTCTCGTTTGATATGGCTCTTTTTAATGGAAAAGAAGTTAAATGGAATTAATTATGTTAGGTGTAATTTAAAATGGAATGGAAATACCCTTCTTTTAACATATGAAGAAATGGGCAACGCTTGAATAATATTGGCAATCTAACTCTAACCATCCTATTTCATCCATGGGCCCCACGACAAAAGAAGACATGTTTTTTGCCTAATCTTTTTAATTTGGAATTTGGGAAGGATTCAATGAAAGAAGCGCACCAAACAGGTTGGCTTATTTTCCGCTTCCACCGCAGTACCATATAAGGACTAATGTTTTGTGGGTTCTGGAACGTTGAGAGCAGACAGAAAATGAGCAATTTTTATTTTTTGCCAACGAAAATGAGCAAATTAGTAGTACCCGTCGTTTAATTCCAGCGATATATAACCTCATTTGGATTTGCTAACGCAAAGATAAATTTGGAACGTTTGAGACAATCAGAAGAAAAATCCAAGACACAACAAACTGGCGTATGTCAATGGCTCAATATGTTTTTCAGAATACGCCATCAAAGCCACATCCTAGTCCTCAAGCTCCCAGAACTGCAATCAACTAGCTACATGTCAATGAGCACTACGATATCCCATCCAATTAGTTTATATCACCTTTAATTCCCATTTAATTAGATTTCAAAAATAAGATCAAAATAAGAACTGCATCAAAATTGATTAGATACTTCTCACAGAGATGGTCACCAACGGCTCATCACTCATCCGTACCGTCCAGCATTGACAATCAGTGCTCAACAGTAAGAAGTGAGGATTAAATATGAAGCAAAGGGCTGAACGCCTGTTACGTCCTCAAGACTGCCGACACAAACTTAATAGGGACCCATTATTCAAACTGCCGACATTAGATTATGATTCTGCCCATGATTCAAACTGAGACATAGTATGATACATAATCTGGAATCTTATGAACTATGAGACGAGGTCTAAGGGTGCCTGTTGCTGCTGAGTTATTAAGTTCTTACATGCTTTTAGCTGAAGGAAGCAGACTAGAAATCCATTATTGAATTTATTAGTCAATAACTTGACCAAAAAGAATGTCAATTAACCTTCAAAATACAACTTTTCCCCTTGCGTTTCCATCCTAGCAGCCTCAGTATATTGCCTGGTGTGCTATTAGTTTATCTGAAGTCGACTAGGCTGGTAAATCTCTACAAGCATCTATGGGAATTCTGGACTAATGATGAGACTCTACAAGCATATGTGGGCATTCCCTTGTACATTTCCTTCAACTATTTCTTTTTTCTTGTTTGCCTCAAACAACGCTTGATATTGTACTTCTATCGATGCATGTAAATCAATTCGTCCTCTTTGCATTCTCTAATTGCAATTTCCATGGAGTCACGAGCTGTAGAGGGCAACACATCACAGCACTGCCTTCTCGGAGCCTGCAACTGAACACAAAGAAACAGAACAAACCAGAGCTATTATCACCGGTTCAAGTAATGCTCCTAATAACCCCAGGGAGAACAAAAATACTAAAGGAGACAACGAGATAGTATGTTTGCAGAAAAACTAGTGTATCATGCTATACCTGTTTTATGTTGAGGTCTAGCTTATTTGTAACCACTTTGATCGTTTTCATTTTCCTCGGCGAAGCAGAATCATATGAACAGTTTTGATAATGTCTAGTGTAATTACTTGTGATCACATCCTGGCCTGAAGACAAACTGTCCAGGTAAAAAATGGTGGGTCTTTTGCATGGGTCGGGGTGAGGGTCTTTTTTGTTAAAAGTGAATGCTCCTGCAAATGCACTTCCCTTCTTCCACTGCCTGAATGTTTGTTGCACGCTCAGAGCATCAGGCAAGAACATATGGTTTGGGAACACCTGAACAGCATAGCCCCATGACACCGAGATTGTCCATGAAAACCACCTGTCATAACAAACTGTTTGTTGCATGATCCTCTGAGAATCCACATTAGCAGCCTCAAATAAACGTCCTAAGGCTTGTGTTTTCGTCATGTTGGGAAAGACAGGATCTGTATAGTCCAGGTGATGGAGGGATAACAAGGGTGTCACAGGGTGTGCAGCCAATAGACCAAACATATTTCCGTGCATATCAAACTGTTTCAATCTCAATCACAAAACAGGGGAATCAGTAATCAGTAAGGACGATGAAGGAGGAAAAAGAAAGGAAGCAAATTTCTCATAATTTGTGAAAACAACGTATACAATCTTAAATGTTACCTGGTGAAAACCGGGTTCGTGGGTTAATCCAACGCCGAGTTCTGTCAAGCAAGAGTACACCCTGCCATCACTTCCATATAGATGAGGATACCTTTCTATGCATGAATCAAAAACTTTAGCTAAAACCTTTGCTAGGGAGGAACTTATGGCGAAACCTGCTCCACCAAAAGCCATTCCAAAGCCAAAGAATCGGTTTTGCTCGTAGCTCTCTGAGTGCGCGCCGATATAGTACCAAAGTTCGTGATCATATTTGGAGAGGATCTTCAACAAATTCTCTGGAAAGAAAACTGTGTCATCATCTCCAAAGACATACCATCTTACATCAGAATGATTCAGAGCAACAGTCTCCGCCACAACACGTGCCACACGGATTG